AACCCCATGCACAACCCTCGTCCTTTACCCGGGCTTGGGACTGGCAGTAACTCTAGAAGAGCTAAAGGTAGCGTTGAACTTTCAGTACAGGATTATTTTTAAAAGATCTCAATGCAATTGTCTGGTCAAGTTGTGAATTTTTAAATTATCTCAATAAAATTCACAAATTTACTATTGGTATGTAGATAGTGGAGTGAAAACGACTTTATTAGAGTAAATGGGATGAGTATGTCTATCGATGTTTTCTTCTCCGAGCTGAATGGTGTAAACGCGAAGCTTTCATTATCTTTCTCGATAACATCATCAGTATATACTTCAGTAAAGTGTGATTTGAGTTTCGTTGGGAACAATAAAGTTCTTCTGTAGTTCCTAAATTATATTGTTTAGTAAAATTAAATAGAAAATAATAATCATATTTCCGTAAGTGACTGAATTAGAGACAAATTCTATAATTTTGATGAGAAGTTTCAAGTCAAGTAATGTGCAAATTACAGCTAAAAAATCAGAGGATCGATAACAGACCCACATTCGGAACAACTTACTAACTTACTCACTTACTTCCCTACTGACGCCTGTCACCCCTCGTCAAGGAGCATAAGCTGTCCATTCACACTCTCCATCCAACCCTGTCCTGGGCAATGCTGTTGTGTGGCTTTGTGTCGCGGTTGATTATGATCACCACTACTGGAAGACTACGTGTCAATTACCAGGTTAGATCCCTCCACAGACCAAATATCTGAAGGCGATTGAAGGTTGTAGTAAGATGTATTGGTTGTCGATTTTGTGGTATCGAAATAATACCGAGATGGCGCCGAAGTTTATAAACGGGACTACCGATCGTACACGAGTTCGTGCAAGTTCACAGACAACGGAATAATGTGTCTTTTTAGTACACTTAAACAAACAGATACAGTAGAACAATCACCGTTAAAATTGGTTATCATAATGATTCTTTCCATTATACGAATCGCCTTCTTTTCGTAAAAGTAGGTCGCTACAGGAGCCCTCCTCTGGAAAGAAGTTACACTTTCAATACGTAGCGGTTTCATTCGTGGGACTGATCGGCAAACTTGCGGTTGTAGGACGCAAGAGCTGACAAACAGCAAGCAATCTTTGATCCCCAAGTTGTCACCGAAGGTCTTTTACGTGGAACGGTGCCAGGAAAACCGTGCTGCATTTGTTACTCGAGTGGGCGTACCACACCAGAGTGGTTTTTATCCAGAATCTGAGGATTGCGTTTGCAGCGGTCCGGACCGGAAAACGCTGCAGACTTAGGACAGAACCACATTGAGCCAATAAACCAGAAGCGACCATAACAACCAAGTTCAAGACCAAACGTATGCCAGACATATTCGGAGCCAGAACATCGACTGAGTGCGTTGACAAAAGTGTGGGTGATCAGGCCAGCTTTCATCAAGATTGACTGAAGTCGACGGTACCAAACGGGCGATGGCCGGAGGCGTGGGCTCAGGATAAAAAAAATCAAAGAAAAAGAGAAAGGTGTAGAATGTATGTAGCATAGGGATAGAGTCCTATACCGTATCCGTTGTTGATTGAGAGGTCAGTTGCAAAAGCGTACGAGTAAGCTGCCTATACATACTCTCCATCCAACCCTGTCCTGGACAATGCTTTCAAGTTCTTTTCAGTTGCTATTCATTCTTTTCGTATCTGCTTCCAATTCTGCTTGTAGCTCTCTTAGAGTTATCGCCGGTCCCAAGCCAGGGTAAAGGCGGAGGGTCTAGAGTGTGGTTGGCAACCCAGTGCCATTGAAAAGGTCTTGCTAAAGAACATACAGACCAAGCACACAAAAATACACGAACATAATCAACAAGACTACAGATAACTCGGGCACGCAGGGGGGTCATAGAATTCCTGGCCGTGATAAAATGATTGAGTTAATGGATAAGGTTGTTTATTAAAATAGACTGCATAGTAATATATGAGGACTACTGCAGGTGTCTTTTGTTTAACTTATGACTTAGTATTTTAATTACACTCTGTCTAGTAAGGCTATTTATATTTACATATGTGTAATTATACGAAGAAAGTCGAGGACGTTCCCATAAGTAACTCTCAAAAAAGCCTTTGCACTGCAAATCGAATTCAAATAGAAAACATTCAAAACAGGGAAATAGTGGACGGGTATTAAATTACACGCAACCATCTATAACTACTATCAAACACTTTGCTGTTAGATACCATCTTTAGTAAATATTTTATTACCAACATTATTTATTGAGATATACCCTCTTCACCTAGTATCAATAAAAATTAAGTTCAGCACTTTAAAATATCCAGTTATATGTATCGCCAATAATCACAAGGTTAAGGTCGTTTATCGACTAACCAGTGAGTATCAATGAACTGATTTATTGAAATTTTTAAAACTAGTGAATAATCATTTAATAGTAACGCCAGTACGTTAGATGCAACTTAAAGTAAGTAAGTAATAATTGAACCATTTATTATTCGTACTAATCTCAAATGAAAAGCTTTAATCATTTGTGATGATTGGGAGTGTTTAAAATATTATTACAAACTAGGAATCCCAGAAATAACCAAGAAGAACTATATGAACATGAACAAACGTATTGTATTTATAATTCGAAATCAAACAGTCATCAAGTACAAAGGAATCATTAGTTCATACAAACACCACATCCGCCACAGCTTAAATTGGAGTCTAAGTTTCTGTAACCGATTGTACGACTTCTTAATTTCATTCAATGTCTGTTCAGTAGTGTATTGGATATATACTTTACACTATCTAGAATGTACTCATTAGTATTAGAATTAATAACTGAAATTGGAACGGACTCATCTGTGTCCTGGAATTGTATACAGTCACCATGTCGGTTGTGTAGTGAAACCACTGATATCTAGAATTTACATGATGGACTTTCCAACACTATCCTCCTCCATGAAATAATGTTGTGTTCTTACGTCACAATGTTATGAACAATTTGATGTTCCTAATTTGAATTATCTTCATACATCTCACACTTCGATCATTACATTGTCACATTATCACATATCTGAGGAAACCGGTTTTCTGACTACTTCAGGAAAACTTGCTATTTCCTCTGATTCATCATACCACTTACTAGGGATTCTACTCAACATACATTGGTTATGAGAATATCCGACATCTGATACAATAACATCAAGAATGTGACTAGAATATGACTCATTCGGAACATATTTGTCGCGTTCATTAGGAATATCACTAGAGATAAATCTATTGTGAGAACAAATGACATTTGATTTGACCTCAAAATTTGATTTCTCTGAAATCTTTTCCTTAAATTTATTAAGAATTTCACTAAACAATAATTGATCATTACAAAAATCAGCATCTATCAAAACTGCATCAGGTTCTCGATCATGATATGATTTGTTCAACATATTTTCCTCAGATTTGTGAGAAGTTTAATCAGAAATATGTGGATCATTAGGAAAAACCATATCCGGTACAATAACATGAGAAATCTGATAAGAATTGGTTGATTAGAAACATAGTGATTCTGAGTTTTATTTAACTCTGGACTGCTATGTGACTCTATACCGCTTTCCGAGGTCGTGGATAAAGATTAATAATCATTAGAAACACCCAACCTAATAGGATCACAATTACAAATTTTAGCATTAGTTGCAGTGAAATCAACCGTAGTATCACAAACTGACTGAATGTGTCCAATTTCACCACATTTAAAGCATTTAGAATTACAAAATGCACATGAATTACACAGGTGAAACTTGTCACAGAACACGCATTTACCAAACTTGTGCTCATCTTCGTGACCTGATTCGCAACTTCTCAATGAATCGTTATCTGAATAACATTGATTACGCTTTGGACTGGGACGAAGTATTAAAGTAGTGGGATTCCTGATGTCTTAACGAGTCATTTTATGAAATTTTTCTTTTTTGCTGCATTCAAAATTTGTACACTTCACATGGTCTGGTAGTAGTTGCTTGAGAGTTGCATAAGGGAGTGAAATCGGCGTGTCTGGAAATGCCAAAGTTTTTATTAAGCTATATGCTTCTTCTCCGATGAATATTAACATCGTCAACATCTTCCTTGTTCACAAACAAACGTATTGCATTCGGAATTCGTAACCAAGCAGTCATCAAATATAAAGGAATCGTTAGTTCATAAAAATATCACATCTTTCATTATAAAGTGTTTCGAGCATCAGATGAAACGCTCAATTCAGAAATTAATATAAAGTTTAAACTCTTACCAACTAAGTTGGCCTCATAACATTTCTTATTTGTGACAATTTCAAATGAGGAGAAAATGATGGTTAAACCAAATTAAATCATCATTATTGTATAACATTTGAAACTGTCTCAAATAGCTAGCATGTGAATTCACGATTTTGTACATACTTTGTCAATGAACGTTAAATGATGGTATGGTTTTGTTTATTTAAATAGACATGAAAAATGTTGATTTAATTGTTTTACGCGCAATCACAACTCAACAAAAACGTTTGAGTTTAAGTAATAAAAAACTTTATCATTTACCATACAACATTGACTTTCTTAAATGGCTTGTAATATTAGATCTACGTTCAAATAATTTATCCAATCTGCCAATTCTACCAAAAAATATGAGTTTGTCCCTTTCATTGTGTAATATTCTCTATTAATTTATTTATCAGCTACAATCGCTTAATTTAGGTCACAACTGGTTTACAACAATACCTAATTCTGTATTTGCATTGACATCACTCAAATCAATCAGTATGTATAGCAGTCAACTTCAATCTATTCCAAGTACACTTTTCGGTAGTCGATATTTACTAAATAACTTAAATTTTCTATAGAACGGTTGGTTACTCTTGAATACATAAATTTCAATCATAATTGCATTAATGCACTAAGTGACTCAATATCCAAGTATTAAAAAATATCATTACTTTACTTTGTTTAGTTTAGCCCATTTGAAATACTTGTCAAGTTCTCACAATAAATTGACGACACTACTAGAGTCAATGTGTTCAATGCTTAACAAATTAGAATATTTAAATTTAGGTTATAATCATATTTTGACATTGCCATTTAATTTTGGTCTACTACAAAATATGAAAACACTTGTTTTACATAAGAACTTTTTAACACGATTACCTGAGGTAAGTAGTGTGATATTTATTTTGAGAATTTGGATTTTAGACATTCGGGCAACTGAAATCCCTAACAATTTTAGACTTAGCTGGTAATAACTTACAACTTTTACCATCCAACGCAAGTCACTTTATAAAATGGGGGTTATTTTATGAGACTACACTTCATGATGAAATTCGCTTTTATTACTATTCAACAACTGCTGTAGAATTACAAAAAGTTAGCGAGCTTAGTATATCTGTTTCATCTTAGTACTGAACTTCTACGAAGTTTAAATCTACGACGCATCATGGGATCAAATCCAGAACAATCACCATTGATTCTCACGACTGAGTTGAAGTAAACGGTAGTAAATTTCAACTTCCGTCAATCCAAAATGTTACGTTTACATCATTCAGTGAGGAATGATAAAAATTAGTAATACGAATCATTGCATTGGTTTGAAAGCACTGTGCTCTCTATAACCCGGAATGTCCTAGATTTGATTTTATGTAGAGTTATTAATCTACAATTATAAGTAGTCCGAAAACGAAGTAATTGTCACATATATACTTGTTCTTAATTATTCTCCAGATGACGTCAGTCGATGACAATAAGTGCTAATAAATGATAAACCCGAATAATCTTCAATCAGGGTTCAGTCTGAATAAATTATGTTTTGTTTTTCTACAATTCCAGTTTACGCAGTTGAAATTAAAAGAATTCTACGCTGAAGCTAATCCATTCACACGAAACGATTTATTTACTTCAACGTATAAAGAAAATGTTTTAACATTGAAAGTAGACTGTTTGATATTCACTTTATTTTGATGCAAACATTTTTTTATATAGGAAATTGTCTTACGAAAATTATTCCGTTTAGGATTTATTGAGTAATATTTAACTTTATCTAAAATGTATTATTCATATTTTTTGGTATTGGTGTTAGTAATCCTTGGTTAGAAGGTATTATAGGATCAAAACAATGGCAAACAGCTGGATTTTGTGCTCTATGTAAAAATCCATATGCAACTTGGTGGTTAGAAAGTGTCCGATTTGCCAATCGTAAAGAATTAGTAGGTTTTGATGTAATCAGTTCATTCATATCTATTATCTAAAAAACTTTCATTGCAATCTGGGATAGTTGATGTTGAGAAATTGCAAGAAGTTTGCACTGATGTAGTTTGTGGTCAAAAGTGAATGTGAATCATAACAGAGACGAGATCACTGGTCACTGGTCTAAGTGACTTAACACCATTTACACTGTATTTTGATATAAGGGGGTTGGTGATACTCGACAAGAAACTATGAATCTCTGTTTCGTGCTAGTTGGTGCTCATAAGTACGCTGTACTTTCGACCTTGAGGAAAGTGATTCCCCCAGTGTGATCCCGACTCGAGTTATTCACAACCTGAATACGTGCGTAGTAAGTACACAGATTTTGAAACTGCGTGACATGATTTATAATCCCACGCAGAATATGAGTTCTCTAAATATTGTAGGTATTTCTTGCTGATAATTCACAACCAACACAAAAACTAGATTCAGGGTTTTCCCCGCTGCCTCCAACCACTGCTCTTACTGACTTATGACGGATTTGAAATTTTGTTACATAGAATTTTTTCGATAGACTTTATGGTATGATGTAGAATACGGCATATATGTATGATCGAATTAGTATATAGTTTCGTTATTTTAGCAAAATGAGTTTTGTTTAAATTGACATCTTGATATTGATCTCAAAGATTACCAAGGACAGTCTCAGATAATATAATTAGCAATTAAATTTGAACTGGTTAAAAGTTCACTCACTGACTGATTCCGTGAAAGACTCTCAAGTGATATATATAATTACTTATCATAGACATAGGATATATTTTATGAAATATTTAGTTATATTTAGTACTGTTGTTCACAGAACTGCATAACTACTTTACAAATCTAGCAGCATAAAAATTTCCTTTGGTTGGTTTTATTTGTAGAAATTATCATAGTTTGAAAATAGTTTCCATCACGAAAAGGATATTAGCTGAAATACGGTTGAAAATAAAGTGGGCGATAGGCACCAATTCCATCTTGTTTTCGACTTCTCAACAATACATACTCGTCATACCACACAGAATTAGACTCGAGACAAACACGTTCCACAGTGAATATGATTCTGTATACCTTCAGAATATTAAGCACAATTCCAAATTTCATGTACACTAGTTCTCACTTAGCTGCGAGAAATCACTTCACCTATGGCTATGGAAATTTCTTGCTTAGCAAAAAATACAGCTTTACGTAATGGGCTTTAACATATTTAAAGTTATAATTGATAAGCGGTTGCATAATTCAAATGGATTGATGGGACAATGTGATGAATTTTCTTGTAATATCACTCAGATGACGTAACATTATGGATTAGAAACAGAAGTACAGAAATATTTACTTCATTTGTTAGTAGCTTAAATTTTTAATATCTAATTAAACTATTCCTTATTAATAATCCATTTCAAAGTGATATAAGTCAGGGTGTTTTACAACTTTGTTTCTTTGTTTTACTTTCACTTTCTTTTCCTAAAAAATATAGATCATCTCTAAAAAACCTCAGTTGAACAAGGCATCTCCAGAAGTATTATATCCGTTAAGGACTTTATTTTGCAGTTATCACTGCTTAAATTCAAGTGAAAATTGTTATGAATTAAGTGTTGGTTAATGTTTTGTCGTAACGAATTTACTCTTAGTGATGATGAAGAAAATTCAAAGCTCAGAAGGAAGATTTAGAGTGATGTGTACAATTGAACTGGATGCTTTATTCACGAAGAATTCACTACCTTCTTACGCAATATCACCATTAAATTCCTCTATAATATGTACCTTGTTTCAGAAGTATGTGCTGATGTTATTGTCCAGAAAGACACTGAAAACTTCATAACTAAATCATCCAACTCACTGAACACAACACTTTCAAATTACTGTCAGTGGTACCATTCGTGACATTATCTTTCATTGTCCCCTTTTCGAGGAAATTCCAATTCATGGAACCAAGATTTAATCCCATGGTTTCTTTATCTCAGTCATTTGTTTATTCCAAATGTAATCAGTACTTTCTATTAGTATAAGGTTTTTGATGAATGACATCTTTACAAGTTATTTTATTTATAATTCCGATTATGTGTTTCAAGTTTTCCGGAGCTTTTTCTTACTAAATGCTTTTTTTTTCAAAAATTAACATATAGTAGGAATGAATAAAACTAGTTTTAAAAAATTTATTTAATAAAAATAGATTTAATATAACTACTTATAAATACATATATATCTAAACACCAAATTTAACTTTATTGAAAAAAGATTGTTCATTAAAACAAAATACAAACCCCAGATAAATTCAGTGTGAATTGAACAAATTCGTAATGCGCTAAAAACTGTGAAAAAAGATTATCATTCATAAATAATAAATATAATTTTTGTTATATCCCAATGAGTAAATAATTGTATTTCCGACATTTCCTGACTTAATGTAAATAATCTAAATAAAGTTAACACAAGTCTAAGTAATACAAAGGTTGTCTATTTACTCCGAAGAAGTAGCTTTCATCAAGTCACGAAACGTCAGTAATACAACCTTCTACTCATTGGTATGAGACAAAAAATACATTTATTATTAATTTAATTTATCTAAAACTATAAAGTCCAACCTTTGCGTTGATACTCACTATTATTATTGATCGTCTATCTCATAAAATACTAGTATTGTACTAAATATGTCCTCAAACTAAATGAGATCCATTTTATTTGAATTCCATTTAATATAATCACTGGAAATAAATTACGTTGATATTCTCCTTTCCAGTACTGATCAAAATTCGATAGTCATGTGTCGAAGGCATAATAACATCGTACATGTTGGAATACAAATTGAAATTGTTTTAATAAAACATCTAATTTATGAGGATTCGTCGAACTAAAACGTGTGTACATTTTAGGCATACAAGGTTTTAATGCATTTGATCGACTAATTTTTCAACACCGTTTTAACCTAACTTTTGGATTTAAAAAGAAAATACCATTTCAAGGTAAAGGTTGATTGTTTGACTTCATTATAAAGGATACTTGATAAATTGACTTCAATCGACAAAACAATTGACCGAATAGTGATAAATCAATATTTACCTAGTTGTCAATAAAAATGTATTGCATTTGTTCCACATGGACTGTCTACGTTTGTAGTTTGATAAAAATATCTTTCTTCGTTTCTCAGCTAACATGCCTTCAGTTGTAAATTATCATCTTTTCTTATGGATAAAACATTGTTCTGAGGCTAGTCACAAAACGTTTATTATGTATCAGTAGTTGTTGACAATCCGTGATTTTGTTAAAAATCCATAGTGATAAATATTACGTGAAACGTTTTCCAGAAACGTAGAAAATATTATTGAAACATGATCGAACATACAAATTACTTAATCAATTAAAATGAATATTCACCTTTTTAACCTCAATAAATGGTTACTATTGTTAATGAGGTTAGGTTGAACCCATGGTAATTGCTATGTTACGAACGGTTAAGATTATTTGAATACGGATACAATTTAGTACGAACTTAACTTCATTTCGATTGACACAAAACAGCAATTCAATATTATTAATCCACATGTTAGTATGCGACATAGAGAAAGTGGGACTTTAGGGATAGCTTTATATTGGGAATGAAAGCTGAAAATTGAAATGATAAATTTCAAAATCATTATTTAAACGTGATCAAATCACCAATTTAGTACACAGTTACTTTTCATAGACCCTATTTATATTCAAAAAATTTGAATTTGATTGTTTCCTTGAGAGGGCTGAAATCAGAATCCTAAACAAAATGCTGCATTTGTCTCAAATTTCAGTCGCTGAGATTTTGAAAAATATAATTCCCTTCCTAATGTCTTCCGTACAACCGGAGCCCAATTATCGTGAAACGATTTGTCCAAGTTTGAGCGGAAGTTCTTATAAGATAACAATTTCGTTGTAGGTTTGAAATGTATATAGAAATGTTTTGTGTAACAATTCAAACTGCAGCAAATGGACAATCACGTGATTTGATAGTATAGTATTTGTGAAGATCGTTAAAATTTGTATTTTGAAATCACTGACTGACTTCAGTTGGAAAACTATTCAAACATGAAAAACACTAGTCAGGTATTTCTTTTAAATGTAAGACTTCACAGAAGAGCACTTTTACAATCTCAACAGAAATCGAACCCATAACCTTCAAGTCTCACCCCAAAAGTATAAGTTTTGGAATACTCAATAAGTGTTCAATGGTTACATTTATAAGCTTCAGTTAAATAATGAAAGAGGGGGACCATAATCTAATCCTGTTTGTGAGTTTTACCACCAAAACAGTTGCTGAAAATCATAGTCAATCATGATTAATTAAAAATATGCTGACGAAATCTTTCAAAAGGCATTTCATGCTGCTAAAATTCTCCTGTCGTCCTATCATTTGTGGATGTATTAACAATATACTACTTACTTGGTCAGTATCAATCTGTTTTTACAAGTTTTATTGTCCTTATGGAGTACATTATATTGGCTCCAGAAAGCTAGATCTCTATAAACACGTCTCCAAGCCTCACGCTACGTGGCTTTCGAAGAAAGAATGTCAAATAAACCTTAGAGAATGTGACGACGGACCACGGGTGAACTCGGGGAAGCTGTATGTGGCTCAGAAGGAACCGAAGATATTCTATCTAATCACCTTTTGAAAGAATATTCTAGAATTCCTACGTGTAGCTTCCCGATTGGACAATGCTAATAACCCCCTGTATGCGGATGGTAGGACTGTAATGATGATTCCGTTCTTACTAAAAACTATAAATACCTGACAATTTTGTACTATAACTGACACTGTTGGAATAATATTCCTTTCATTAGTCTTCTGCCTTCTCACTGCGACTTGGAACGGTTTTGGCGTCCTAGTGCTCAGTTATACGTGGCATATCAAGAAAACAACCTTCTAGATATAACAGAGAAATATTAGGACATATTTTCAATTCTGATCGAACTATCTCATAAGATATTTTAGTGGCTGGTCCTATGTAGAGCCTACATAGCTCATTCTAGCTTATAGATAAACCAATAT